AGGGAGTGCGGACGCAGCTCGGTTCAGCGCGGCGAACCCCATCGCCATCGGATTCCTTCCATCGGGACCAGCCCAACAGCGGCCCCGCCCGTGGTACTGCTGCGAGAAAGAACTGATCAAGCGGGAGAGGGGGTAGCTCGGGTGACTCGGGCTTAGCGCTCCGTCCAATCTTTGGATCTTTATATATATCGACGTGAAAAAACAAGGTAGTAGTAGGGCAGAGAGAATAGAACACGGCACATGGAAACATGCTGAGATGAAGGTGAGCGTACGAGCTTTCCAATTATTAAGTACTGGCTCGAGCACGTTTTGGGGTTAGCCATATCTCTGCCGTGCCGTCAGGATCCAAAGAGCTAGGACACTCGCAGATAAGATAAATGAATGGAAGTGTAAAAAGCTATGCAGTGAAGATCGGAGTATGAATGAAATCCAAAGTGCACCACTCCTCCGGTATCCGCGGAACCGGAAAAGGCACTCTTGGTCTCATATGACTTTGCTATTCGTCAGCGTGTTTATTTGTGTGTGTTCGTATTAGCTATGTGCATCCTATGCAGAGACCGAGTGTATATTTATTATTCTTGTGTCCCCTTGATGCTTTATTTTAAGTAAATAAAATCCACCTTTTATCGGAAAAAAAGCTGCAAATCCTAACAAACTGCCTATTCGGCTAACAGTACTAGCATTAGTGTTGGTAGGCCATTTTGTGCCGGAGCGCCATGAGTAAACATGAGGAGGAAAAACAGACAGCATTCTGAAACAGATCCTGTCTTACCCTACTGCCTCCCGTTCAGTCCCAGCTAGATTCTTCAGAACGGACAACTACTAGCATTTGAATCCGTTCCTAGTCCGGGCCTTGGATTTCGACGGCAACGGTCGCAAGACCGATGCGCCACTGTCCGCGCTGCCGTTTTTTGGAGCCTTTGCACAAGTCAGGACTCAGAGGGTGCTTGGATACAAGGAACTATTTTTAGTCTGACTAAAAATAGTCTTTTTTAGAGGCTAAAGTTCCAAGCACCCCTGACTAAAAAGATGCTAGGACTAGTCTTGAGGCTAAAATCTTTTAGTCATGGGAAACCTAGTAAAATATGTATTAGCTCTCTCTCTCCTTATTTAATTCCTCTCCTTAGTTCTGGATTGAAGGGTTTGGAGGATAATAAATGCTCAATAACTAGATTTTAGTCTCTTTAGTACTTGGATCCAAGCATGGGTGAGACTAGCAAGTTTTAGTCCCACTACTTTTAGTCATGGGACTAAAACGTATCCAAGCATGCTCTCAGGAGCGATCAAGTCCCGGAGATCCACAGCCCCAGGCCATGCTTTTCGAGGCAGCAAGATGCTCTTCCCGAATCATTCCATACCTTCCCATTCCCGGCCCGGGGTCCCGTCGTGAAACTCTCCATCACCAAACCCAATCAATCAATCAACGAAAGAAAAAAGCTAAAAACAAACCAGAGCACAGATTTATCATCCAATGCCACAACAAAGCCGCGCTAGATTTGGCCAGCGCCCCACGAACCGAGACCAGCACAGTATCCAATTAGCAGCAGCGAGTGATAGCATCCGAGGATCGCATTACATGAGATCAGATCTGCAATCTGTGTTGGCTCCCTTAAGATATGCTATACTAGCGTGACAAAATAGCTGAGATAGCATGTCCGGTGCCTGTCTTCGGGCGAGACCATGGGTCGCTCCGTCACTGTGACGCTGCACGTAGTAGTACTACACTGCTCCTGGACCACGCCTCTGCGTCTTGTAGCCGGCATCACCTGCACGCTCAACGAGATGAAAACAGCGTGGGCTGGTTAGACACAGCTGCTGTTCGTTCCAGTTCTGAACCTAGAATTGCCATAAACACGCACTGAGTGATGCTACTG